CTTGCCCAACTGTGATGGCATTCCTTCCCATTCCCTGGGGTTGTGGCAGAAAAGGAGCTGGGACTTTCTTCATGTCAGTTTCTCCTGTGGGGAGCAGTAACAAGGTATCCCTATGACCCCCACGACCCATGTCAGGGAAGTGTATTCAGATGCCTGGCAGTGAGGGAGAACTTCCAACATGGGGGGGCAGCAGCAAGGTACCCCTCCCACATAAGAGTGTCAGTGGGCCAAGAGGAAAGTCTGCATTCCCATCCTCATGTGCCAGCAACAAGACGGCCATTCTTCCCTCAACTCCCAGCATGTAAGTCAATTAGAGAAGGACAATCATCATGCGGTTTCACTCATACAGGAAATATAAAAAATAGTGAAAGGGATTATACGGGAAAGGAGAGAAAATGAGTGGGAAAAATCAGAGATGGTGACAAAACATGAGAGACTCTTAACTCTGGGAAATGAACAAGAAGAGGTGGGTCAGGGGATGGGGTGACTGGGTGACGGGCACTGAGGGGGGCACTTGACGGGATGAGCACTGGGTGCTGGGCTATATGTTGGCAAATCGAACTCCAATAAAAATATACAAAATATATACATATATATATATATACATATACGCATATTTTTTAAAAACTCCCAGCATGACGTCAGAAGAGTCTGCCGAAAGAGAAGATTTTAATACAATCGAGCTTCAAAACATAATAACCATAAAGACCAAGGATACAACTTAAAAAAATCATTGTCACACCAAGAACCAAGAAAACCTCAAACTGAGATAATATAAATGTTAGAATTCTCTGACAAATATTTTATAGTAACCATCATAAAAAGTGCTCTAATGAATTTAAATTTAAAAAAAAATTTCAAAAGAGAGACAAACAGAAGGTAGATTAGAGGCTACTGGGGGCCAGGGAAGGGCATGGGAGAGTTAGTCCTTACTAGATACAGAGCTCCTGCAGAGAGTGATGAAAACATTTTAGGATTAGTGATGATGGTTGCACAATATTACCGATGTAATTAGTACCACTGAATTGTATACGTTAAGATGGTTAAAATCACAACTTTTATTTTATATATTGTACCACAAAGAAAACAATTTTAAAAACTAGTTTAAACGGGGATGCCTGGGTGGCTCAGTAGGCTAAGTGTCAGCCTTCATCTCAAGTCATGATCTCAGGGTCTTGGGATCCAGCCCCAACATGGGCTCCCTGCTTAGTGGGGAATCTCCTTCCCCTCTCCCTCTGCCCCTCATCCCCACCAACCCTGCTCCTGCTAACTCTCTCTCAAATAAATAAATAAAATCTTTTAAAATTTTCTTTAAGAAATTTGGGGATAAATACTTCCAATCATGGGGCACCTGGGTGGCTCATGGTTGAGTGTCTGTCTTTGGCTCAAGTTATAATCCTGAGTTCCTGGAATTGAGTCCCACATTGGGTTCCCCACAGGGAGCCTGCTTCTCCCTCTGCCTGTGTCTCTGCCTCTCTCTGTGTGTCTCTCATGAATAAATAAATAAAATCTAAAAAACAAATGTTCTAATGAGCAATTACAAGCAAGCTTTTCTGAAACAAATGAAAAAAGTAGAAAGACTCAGCAAAGAAATAGAACTTTGATAAAGAAACAGATGATTTCAAAGACCTAATGGAAACTTAAGACCTGAAAAATACAAAAAGTGAAATAAAAACTCTATTGAATGGGCTTGCTAGCAGAATGGTGACAAAAATGAACTATTGGGACTTCATCAAGATAAGAAGCTTTTGCACAGCAAAGGATACAGTCAACAAAACTAAAAGACAACCTACAGAATGGGAGAAGATATTTGCAAATGACCTATCAGATAAAGGGCTAGTTTCCAAGATCTATAAAGAACTTATTAAACTCAACAGCAAAGAAACAAACAATCCAATCATGAAATGGGCAAAGACATGAAGAGAAATCTCACAGAGGAAGACATAGACATGGCCAACACACACATGAGAAAATGCTCTGCATCACTGGCCATCAGGGAAATACAAATCAAAACCACAATGAGATACCACCTCACACCAGTGAGAATGGGGAAAATTAACAAGGCAGGAAACCACAAATGTTGGAGAGGATGCGGAGAAAAGGGAACCCTCTTACACTGTTGGTGGGAATGTGAACTGGTGCAGCCACTCTGGAAAACTGTGTGGAGGTTCCTCAGGGAGTTAAAAATAGACCTGCCCTACGACCCAGCAATTGCACTGTTGGAGATTTACCCCAAAGATTCAGATGCAATGAAACGCCGGGACACCAGCACCCCAATGTTTCTAGCAACAATGTCCACAATAGCCAAACGGTGGAAGGAGCCTCGGTGTCCATCGAAAGATGAATGGATAAAGATGTGGTTTATGTATACAATGGAATATTCCTCAGCCATTAGAAATGACAAATACCCACCATTTGCTTCAACGTGGATGGAACTGGAGGGTATTATGCTGAGTGAAGTAAGTCAATTGGAGAAGAACAAACATTATATGGTCTCATTCATTTGGGGAATATAAATAATAGTGAAAGGGAATAGAAGGGAAGGGAGAAGAAATGGGTAGGAAATATCAGAAAGGGAGACAGAACATAAAGACTCCTAACTCTGGGAAACGAACTAGAGGTGGTGGAAGGGGAGGAGGGTGGGTGGTGGGGGTGAATGGGTGACGGGCACTGAGGGGGGCACTTGACAGGATGAGCACTGGGTGTTATTCTGTATGTTGGTAAATTGAACACCAATAAAAAATTAATTGATTAAAAAAAAAAGAATGGTGACAAAAGAGAGAAAAAAGAATCTGTGAACCTGAAATCAAAACAGCATAATTTATGCAATCTGAATAAGACAGACAAAATAAACTACAGAAAAAAAAATTATCGGTGGTGCCTGGGTGGCTCAATCGGTTAAGGATCTACCTTCAGCTCAGGTCAAGTCCACCATCGGGCTTCCTGCTCAGTGGGGAGTCTGCTTCTCTGTCTCTGTCTCTGTCTCTGTCTCTGTCTCTCTCTCTCTCTCCCTTCGTTAAATAAATAAATAAGGGGATCTCTGGGTGGCTCAGCGGTTTGGCGCCTGCCTTTGGCTCAGGGCGCGATCCTGGAGTCCCGGGATCGAGTCCCGCGTCGGGCTCCCGGCATGAAGCCTGCTTCTCCCTCCTCCTGTGTCTCTGCCTCTCTTTCTCTCTATGTCTATCATAAATAAATAAATAAATAAATCTTTTTTAAAAATTAAATAAATAAATAATCTAAAAATCATTATCAGAGTCTCAGGAACCTATGGGACTACAAAAAAAAAGTGTAATATTTCTGTCATTGAATTCCATGAGAGATTCTTATCTATTGGAAACAAACTGAAGGTTGCTGAATGGGTGGAGGATAAGGAAGGGGATGGGGTGACTGGGTAATGAGCATTAAGGAGAACACATGATGCGGTGAGAACTGAGCATTATATGCAACTGATGAATCATTGAACTCTACATCTGAAACTAATGATGTGCCATATGTTGGCTACTTGAATTTCTTTTTAAACATTTTATTTATTTATTCATGAGAGAGACACAGAGACAAGCAGAGACACAAGCAGAGCAAGAAGCAGGCTCCCTGTGGGGAGCCTGATGCAGGACTCAATTCCAGGACCCTGGGATCATGGCCTGAGCCAAAGGCAGACACTCAACCACTAAGCCATCCAAGTGTCCCTGGCTACTTGAATTTAATTTTTTTAAATGTATTCCAAAGGAAGATAGAGAATATGGAACTGAAAAATTATTCAGAGAAAAAAATGATTAAAGTTTCTCAAATTTCCAAAAGATGAAAACATATAGATTCAAAAAGCTTAGGAAACTCCAAACAGAATCAACTTAAACAAATTAGGGCCAAGATACATCACGATCAAACTTTTAATGACTAAAGACATAGAAAAAAAATCTTGAAAGTAATGAGAGATTGTGATGCCTCATCACTAAGGGAACAAACATTTCACATATGAATAAGGTGTTATTGCTCATCAAAAATCATGGGTGCCAGTGGAATGTAGCACAACATTTTTCATGGTGTGGATGATTGAATAAATAAAATATGGTGTCTATATATATAATGGAATTTTATATGTATATGAAAATTATTCAGCCAGTTACAAAATCACTAAGTCCTAAGGATATAGAAGTACAGCATGGTGATTACAATTAATAATAATGTATTGCATATTTGAAAGTCACTAACAGATCTTAAAAGTTCTCATCACACACACACACGAAATTTGCAGCTATGTACGGTAATGGATGTCAAGTAGGCTTATTGTGGTGATTATTTCACAATATATAAGATATTAAATCATTATGTTGTATATATATCTAAAGCTAATATAGTGCCGTAAGGGAATTATACGTTAATAAAATTGTCTTTTAGGGGTGCTTGGGTGACTCAGTCCATTATACATCCAACTCTTGATTTCTGCTCAGGCCATGATCTTGGAGTTTTGGAATCCAGCCTTGTGTGGGGCTCCAAGCTCAGCACGTAGTCTGCTTGAGATTCTCTTCCTTCCCTCTCCCTCTGCATCTCCCCCTGCTCGCACCGGGTCTCTCTCTCACTTGCTCTCTCTCTCTCTCTCTCTCTCTCCCTCTCTCTCTAAAATAAATGAATAAAATGTTTTTTCAAAAACTGTCTTTTAACAAATACTAAATAGATAATTCTGTTCACTCTAATCCAAGGTCTTCATGGGGTAGAAAGAGCAGCAGAGTAATTCTTCACATTGGGAAGTTCTTATAATACACAGGATCACATCTTCCCATACCACAAAGATTTAAAAACCACCTTCAAGGAGGCTTTCAATACAAACACCCAGTAATGCTATGCAAATACTTATAAAAACAGAAGTGAGTTTCTGAGAAGTTAATCATAGGACAGATTATCGGGAAAGAAAGGATCTAGACCAGTGGTTTCATATGTCAGATCCCCTGGAGGCCAAATAAGACTTAAAACAGGAAGTTTTTTGTAACACACGCAGACCAAGACCAGACGTCCTCCGTGCCTGAGCTGCTGGTGTCTTGCACCATGAAAAACAGAAATCTACTGCTCCCAGGTAGGTAGAATTATAACAATAATGACAGATTACTAGAGCTATCTGGGAACTCTATCCAGTTAGAGAATATTCTGTGTTCTTGATGATCTGTTTTCCCACTTTCTATAAAGGACAGAGGGAAGAGATTTTAAGAAGGATATTGGCTCATTTATATTGTCTCAAAGGAGAAAATCAGTAAAATTTATTCCTAGAGCCCATCCAACAAAGACTTCTCATTTTACTTCCTCTATTGGTCCAGTTTCTCCAGAGAAACAGAACCAATATAATGTGTGTGTGTGTGTGTGTGTGTGTGTGTGGTGTGTGTAAGAGAGAGAGAGAGAGAAATTCATTCATTTTAAGGAATTGGTTTCTAAGACTGTGGAGGTTGGAAAGTTAATATCCTGCAGTGCAGGCCAGCAAGCTGGGACCCCAGGAAGACTTGATGTTACATCTCAAGCTTGAAGTCAATCTGGAAGCAGAATGCCTTCTTCCTCAGAGGAAGTCAGTCTTTTTCCTCCTAATGTCTTCAACTGATTGGATGAAGCCCACCCACATTATGGAGGGTAATCTGCTTTACTCAGAGTCTACTGATTTAACTATTAATTTCATCGAAAAAAACATCCACACAACAAATCTAAACTAGTGTTTGACCAAATGCCTGCGTGCTGTGGCCCCGCCAAATTGATACATGAAATTAACCGTCATGTCACCTATACTGTGTTTTTCACAAGGGTACATAACCAAATTCTCTGAAAATTCTAATGAGCTAAGAAAAATATCATCCTTTAGTCCATAGGCTTTGGGTGGTTGAAAGGGCAATAACGGTGCATAATGGGAAGGTCAGCTTAATTCTGATTAGCCTTTCTATCCTTTCATGCTTAGGATAATACCTGTTACATAGCAAATTAAGTGTTCCTATATATTGTCCTCATTGATTGTAATTTATTTCCTGGTTGTGAAAATAACCACATTTCTTATCATCTGATGTGTGGAACATGATTTTTTTAATGCTGGGCACATTATAGGAAAATCCTGTAAAGGCCCTGAGATATTAAAAGGTTTTCATAGGGTTCATTGCCTCTCATGAATGGAATGACAGACATTAACAGCTGGCCAGGTGATGATTGCCTGTGGGGTAGATTCTTTCCCACCTGCAATGGTTTTCATACCACGAGACCTGTCCAGTGACCCATTGCTCAGGACCAGCCTGGGAGAGAAAGGGAAAGGCTGTGCCCTCAGTGTGCTGTAGGAGGGCCAGGAGCTCACTTGGAAGGAACCATAAAAACCACAGATGTTGCACCTGGAAAGGTCACTTAATCAGGAGATGGTGGTTCCACCTGCCAGTGCCATAGTTCTCACCCCTCACCTGTCATCAGCTCCCCCTCTCATGATTCCAGGACTTCCTGCCTAGCCAATGCCACTGGAGCTGGGACTCAGGATTGGGGCTCTCTGATCCCTCAATACACACTCTTCTCATGGGCCATGAAACATGTATGTTGAACAGGGAGGGGAAGTGTTCCTGAAAGAGAAATGTTCAGGGTAGATTTCTGCCACTGCCAGAGAACAAAGAACCTGGCTATGGGCAGAGAACAGCAATCTGAGGACTTTGTGCTTCAAGATTTACCCCCTCCATTGGGAGAGGCTGGCATTTCTAAGTTTTGTCCCTTACATCAGCTGTCTGAATATATTCTGTCCCCTTACCTGTAGCACCAAGTCTCCATGAGGATGGTATCCATTAGTGAATGACTCTTCAGGGAGTCCAGGGAGAGGGAGGTAATGGGACTGGTCCTCAATTCTACATAAGGTACCAGAGCCTTGTGGATGATGCTGGAAAGCTGTGGGCTACAGGGCCAGAGCCACTTCCCCAGGAGGCAATGACCATGCCATCAGAGGTTGAAACTAGAGTTCCACTCTCCTCTCTTTGTTCTCTCGCTGTTTTTTTTCTGCCCTAGAACTCTTGATGCTGCTTCTGTTGCCATTAGGAGCTTCAGCCCAGAAGACTAGAGGTGAGTCTGCCCAGACTTAGTGACATAAGCTGGAGAGTGCACACTGGGATCTGAGTCCTCTCATCCACAAGGAGGAAAGGAGACTTATTATCCAAATGAGGCTCCAAGAGGATCTTCTGGAGATAAGAGATGCTGTTTCTTCCTCTCTAAATGGCCAGTCTTCTGTCTTTTCCTCTTCCAATGGAAGCCATCCCTTCTCTACCCTGCTCTACTCATGGACTCTTAGCTGGCAGCTGGCTTCATCCATTCCTTGAAACTTCTGGCTTTAATCTCTTTTCTGTTAGTGATCCCACACCTATGCTCACTGGTGCCCTCTGAACTCTCCATGGGTCAATGCCATCATGTGTCACTGCTCTCCAGGATTTGTTCTTTGTCTGGAGAGATCTTTAACTTTACCTTTGGAGAGTTGTGATGTACAGGGCCTTGGGATGGTGGAGGGGCATGGAGATGTGGGGAGAGATGGGGGAGGGGACCCTCACTCAGAGCAGGGGAAGTGTGAGGAAAGTGGACATTCAGATTTTCATGATCAGTAGGTAGAGTGTTGAGAGCTTACACAGCAGAGCTGGGATAATGTGGGTTAAAGGTCCAGCTCACCACTGACTACATCTGACATGTAAGAAATTATTTCTCCTCTCTATGCCTCAATTTGCTTGTCTGTAAATTGGGGATAATCATTGTACCTATCCCCCATGGATGGAGTGAGGTTTAAAGTTTATGTGTGTGCAGAACAGGTAAAGACTGGTATGGAGCAGACTGTCAAATATGAGCTATTATCATGGTCACTGCTGTTATTACTGTGATTATTTTCATAAGACGAGGAAAGGACCCCCAAACCTGAAAGCTCAGGCTCTCTTCCTAGAATGAGCTCACGGGGAACTCCTGCCTCATGGTCATGGTTTACCAATTTAAATTCCCTCCAACAGTGCGCAAGATTCCCTTTTCCCTATATCCTCACCAGCAGTTGTTATTCCTTGTCTTTTTTATAACAGCCATTCTGACAGGTGAAGGTGATATCTTATTGTTTTGATTTGCATTTCCCTGATGATTAGCAATGTTGAGTACATTTTCACGTACCTCCTGACTATTTGGATGTCTTCTTTGGAAAAATGTTTATTCAATCCTATACCTATTATTATTATTATTATTATTATTATTATTATTAATCTTTGGAAGGGTTTTTTGCTATTGAATTGTATGAATTCTTTATATATTTTTAATGTTAATCTTTTATCAGACATATGATTAGCAAATATTTTCTCCCAAATTGTAGGTTGCCTTTTAATTTTGTTGATGCTTTCCCTGCAGTAAAAAAGTTTTTAGTTTAATATAGTCCCACTTGTCTATTTTTGCTTTTGTTGCCTTTGCTTTTGGCCTCAAGTCCAAAAAAATCATTGCCTACACCAATGTCAAAAAGCTTACTCTCTGTTTTCTTCCATGAATTTTATGATTTTGAGGTAACATCATTTTTTAAATTATCAAATTTGGGCTCAGAGAGATTGAGTGACTTATCCAAAGTCTTACAACTAATAAAGTGGTAGAAGCATATCCAGGTATAAAACTAAGGGGTTTTTAAGTATTGGTGAGGATATGGAGAAAAGGGAACCCTCATGCACTGTCAGTAGGAATGGAAACTGGTGCAGCCACTGTAGAAAACTATATGTTGGTTCCTCAAAAAATTAAAAATAGAAATACTATATGATCCAGTAATTCTACTACTGAGTATTTACTCAAAGAAAAAAAAAACTTATTTACCCCAAAGATATAGATATAGGGAAATGACAGGACACCTGCACTCCAATGTTCATAGCAGCAATGTCCACAATAGCCAAACTGTGGAAGGAGCCACAATGTCCTTCAACAGATGAATGGATAAAGAAGATGTGGCATATATATTCAAAAAGATACATGCACCCCTAACATTTACTACAGCATTATTTACTATGGCCAAGACATGGAAGCAACTCAAGGGTCCATCATAGATGAAAGAATAAATAAGATGCGGCATCTGGGGCACCTGGGTGGCTCAGTCTGTTAAGTGTCTGCCTTTGGCTCAGGTCATGATCCTAGAGTCTTGGGATCAAGCCCGGCATCAGGCTCCCTGCTCAACACAGTCTGCTTCTCCCTTTTGCTCTGCTCATTCTCTCTCTCCCTCTCTCTCTCTCTAAAAATCAATAAAATATTTTTTTAAAAAGATGTGACATCTGTCTGCAATGGAAAATTACCCATAAAAAAGACATCTTGCCATCTGCACTTATGCCAAGTATAGTATGTCAGACTGAGAAAGACAAATGCCATATGATTTCACATATATGTGGAATCTAAAATATAAAACTAACAAAACCAGCCTCTTAAATACAGAGAGCAAACTGATGGTTGTCAGAGGGGAGGTGGCAGGGGGATGGACAAAATAGATAAGGGGATTAGCTTAAAGTTATAAAATAAATAAGTCATAGAGATGAGAAGCACAGCATGGGGGAATAGAGGCAATAATACTATAATAACATTGTTTGGTGACAAGTGATGACTATAGTCACCATGGTGAGCACTGTGTAATGTCTAGAATTGTTTTTGTTAATAATAAATTTATTTTTTATTGGTGTTCAATTTGCCAACATACAGAATAATACCCAGTGCTCATCCTGTCAAGTGCCCCCCTCAGTGCCCGCCACCTAGTCACCCCCACACCCCGCCCTCATCCCCTTCCACCACCCCTAGTTCGTTTCCCAGAGTTAGGAGTCTTCCATGTTCTGTCTCCCTTTCTGATATTTCCCACTTATTTTTCCTCCTTTCCCCTTCTATTCCCTTTCACTATTATTTATATTCCCCAAACGAATAAGACCATATAATGTTTGTCCTTCTCCGATTGACTCATTTCACTCAGCATAATACCCTCCAGTTCCATCCACGTTGAAGCAAATGGTGGGTATTTGTCATTTCTAATGGCTGAGTAATATTCCATTGTAGAATTGTTAAATTATTATGTTGTACATCTTGAACTAACATAAAACTATATGTTAATTATACTTCAATGAAAATACACTTTAAAAAAGAAAAAAGATTTCTTTTTTAAATATTTTATTATATTTAGTATAATACCCAGTGCTCATCCCATCAAATGCCTTCATTAGTGCCTGTCACCCAGTCACCCCATTCCCCCCACCTACCTCCCCTTCTGCAACCCTTTGTTTGCTTCCCAGAGTTAGGAGTCTCTCCTGGTTTGTCTCCCTCTCTAATTAAAGAAAACATTTCTAAAGTCTGTTTTATTTAAGTATATGTGACACACAATGTTACATTAACTTCAGATGTACAAAATAACAATTCAATAAATTTATACTATGTTCACCACAAGTGTAGCTACCATCTGTCCCCATAAATCAACACATTGCTGTTACAATATCATTGACTATATTCCTTATTCTGTGCCTTTTCTTCCCATGACTTATTCGTTCCATAACGGATAGCCTGTATCTCCCACTCCCCTTCACCCAACCCCCAACTCCACTCTCCTCCATCAGTTTGCTCTCTGTATTTATAGGCCTGATTCTGCTTTTTGTCTGTTTGTTTTATTCATTTGGTGGGTTTTTTTAGATTCCATTTATGAGTGATATCATATGGTATTTGTCTTTCTCAATCTTATTTCACTTAACATAATATCCCCTAGATCCACCTATATTGTCTCAAACACAATAATCTCCTTTTACGGCTCTATAATAGTCCACTGTGTATATACCACATCTCCCTTATCCACTTAACTGTTGATGGACATTCAGGTTGCTTCCATATCTTAACTATTGTAAATAATGCTTCAATAAACAAACAAAAAATTTTATAAGCTAAAGAGCAGTGTGCACAAATAAGATAGTATTATTTAGTACTATTTCAATAATTTATTTTGATCCTGAAATAATTTTTTAAGTATACAAAAATAAACTTCCAGGGCACCTGGGTGACTCAGTCTATTGAATGTCTGATTCCTCATTTCAGCTCAGGTCATGAACTCAGGGTCCTGGGATGGAGCACCACATCAGGCTCTCTGCTCAGGAGGGGAAGGAGGGGAATCTATTCCTCTGCCCCTCCTCCTGCTTTCTCTCTCTCTCTCTCTCTCTCTCTCTCTCTCTCTCTCTCTCTCTCCCTCTCCCTCTCCCTCTCAAAATAAATAAATCTTCAAAAAAAAACTTTTAAAATCCAAAAATTAAATTGTACTACATATCTGCTTAAGAAAGGAAATAAGTCAATCAGAGAAGGACAAACATTATATGGTCTCATTTGTTCGGAGAATATAAGAATTAGTGAAAGGGAATAAAGGGAAAGGAGAGAAAATGAGTGAAAATATCAGTGAGGGTGACAAAACATGAGAGATACCTAACTCTGGGAAACGAACAAGGGTAATGGAAAGGGAGGTGGGCGGGGGCACTTGGCGGGATGAGCACTGGGTGTTATGCTATATGTTGGCAAATTGAACTCCAATAAAAAAAAGAAATGATACAAAATGATACAAAAAAGAAATGATCAAAACATTAAAATAAATGTAACATAATTTTAAACTAAAAAGAAAGAATGAGTGAAAGAAAGTTTTTCAATCTCATTAAAAACAACTATTTTTCTCAAATCAGGAAAACAAAAATTGATTTTCCTTTAAGATGAAAATAAATACAACTTGAATGAAGTTGGAACTGAATTTTGCTTTTAAAAAATTTTAAATGACACTGAAGAGGTTTTTATTCAATGAAATAGGATCATAAAAAGAAATTATAATACTTAAAAATTGTTAAGACAGAGGGCAGCCCGGGTTGCTCAGTGGTTTAGCACCGCCTTCGGCCCATGGTGTGATCCTGGAGACCTGGGATCCAGTCCCGTGTCGGACTCCCTGCATGGAGCCTGCTTCTCCCTCTGCCTGTGTCTCTGCCTCTCTCTCTCTCTCTCTCTCTCTCTCTCTCTCTCTCTCTCTCTCTTTGTGTATGTGTGTGTGTATCTCTCATGAATAAATAAATAAAATCTTTAAAATAAATAAATAAATAATTTTAAAAATTGCTAAGACCGAAAATTTTGTTTTGCACATTTTACCACAAAAAGAAAATAGGGAAATGCAGAAAAATATATAGTTTTTACACCAAGAAATGCTTTCATGTACTCAGAATAGTCTTAGATGCATATATACTGATAATTAAAGGAAAAATTTCTAGTATGTTTGAAAAGATAAGAAAAATTACCCTAAAATTTACCAGTAGTCTGTGTGGTAGACTTATAGGTAATTTTCCTTATTTTCATTTTTCTTACATTTTCTTTATCTTCTGAGTATCTGTGTGTCATTTATATTTGGGATAAAGTAAATTTAATCACAGACAAAAGAGTGGCGGTGTGAATCTTGCCAAGGCCCTTCATTCCCAAGAGGTATCCTTTTTTTTTTTATTGGAGTTCGATTTGCCAACATATAGCATAACACCCAGTGCTCATCCCGCCAAGTGCCCCCCTCACTGCCCATCACCCAGTCACCCCATCCCCTCACCCACCTCCCTTTCTACCACCCCTTTTTTCTTTCCCAGAGTTAGGAGTCTTTCATGTTCTGTCTCCCTCACTGATATTTCCCACTCTTTCTCTCCTTTTCCCTTTATTACGTTTCACTATTTTTTATATTCCCCGAATGAATGAGACCATATAATGTTTGTCCTTTTCCAATTGACTTACTTCACTCAGCATAATACCCTCCAATTCCATCCATGTTGAAGCAAATGGTATTTGTCATTTCTAATGGCTGAGTAATATCCTTGGGAGATCCCCATGCATTTGCATGTGTCTCATGGAAACTCCTGGCTGGGTGAGCATGGCAAGGTGACATGGCTGGTGATTGGATCTCAAGTCCTTTCTGGGAGCTCACCTGTCAGGTTGAGGATTTCTCATTGTCATCTTTCCCTCCTGTACATCTCATTCCTATCTGTCCCCCACTCCAATCCACCCAACCCATGAACCTTGAAGGCAGGTATCCAGTCATTCTCATCATCTGAGAAGAGAGGTCAGTCCCTTCGCCCAGGTGGAGGTGAACATGAATGTGTCAGGTGTGCATCTTCCCACATCTGTCATGTCCTGATGCTGACACCCACAGTGTGGGGTCTGGATCCTTAGAAAGGAAGCCCACAAGTTCTGGTGGGAAATTCTGCTCTGGGGGAGACCAGTTGCCTGCCCTGACTTAGCATGATGGCATGAGTCCTTTCAAGCTCTGAGAGTTTTTTGGTCCCCTGTTTAGAATGTATTGGAGAAAACATTCTTAAATGAACTTTTTAAAAAAAAATTAATTTATTCATGAGAGACAGACAGAGAGAGAGAGAGAGATTGAGAGAGAGAGAGAGAGAGAGAGAGAGAGAGAGAGAGAGAGAGAAGCAGGCTTCATGCAGGGAGCCCGATGTGTGACTCGATCCCGGGTTCCCGAGATCACACCCTGGGCTGAAGGCGGCGCTAAACCGCTGAGCCACCTGGGCTGCCCTAGGAGAAAACATTCTGTCCCTGCATTTTGATGCATTCTTGTCTTGTTGGTTCTTATTTTTTTTAAAGATTTATTTATTTATTCATAAGAGACAGAGAGAGAGGCAGAGACACAGGCAGAGGGAGAAGCAGGCTCCATGCAGGGAGCCTGACTTGGGACTCGATTCCAGGTTTCCAGGATCGCGCCTTGGGCGGAAGGCGGCGCTAAACCGCTGAGCCTCCCGTGCCACCCTTGTTGGTTCTTATTGAACTGTTATTTTTAACCAGTGATGTGTAGCCCCAGCTCTGTGGGACCCGAAGCTACTCAAAGGGGACCTAGCTCACAGGCATCTTTCCTCTCATTTTTAGAGAACAAGAAGAGATAAGAGGCCAGGAACCCACCCTGCAATGACTCAGATAGGAGTATCTTCCTGTTGTTTCTTCATTTCTCATATATTATGGGCTCTGATTAAAGGGAATTCTCCCCCAGAGACATCCTGGGGCACCTGTAAAAGGCTCGACATTGGGATTTGGGGGAGTGCTTGATGATGATTGTGAGATGACCTTGGGCCACTCTGAGTATGGGCCTGACCATCTGTTTCTATCATCAGGTGCAAATGATGAATATCATCACTCTGGACAGCCCCTAAGCTGCCTCAGCATCAAGGGTGGCCTTCTATGCTACTGTCACCCTTACTAGAGCCCACCACCCCAGGTCTCCAGTGGTGCAAACAGCACTACAGGGGAGTCTGGAGCCTGACTCAGTGCCTCTGTCCACCCCCACAAGGCCTGCAAAGGAGTGTGGCCTTCCTTCCTGTCCCCATCATGCAAGGCACAGCAGTGTCTGAATCTGGGGGGCCTCAAATCCAGCCAGAGAGCAGAGATGAGCAGAGCAGTAAGCAATATTTTGGAGCAGCTGGCTCTAGCTGAGATCTCCCCCAGGAGTGCTGCCTAGGAGCTGTGTCTTTCCAACCTTCATCATGGGGTCAGACTAGAGACCAGGGCCTCTTCCCTGTAGGAACTTATTCCTTTGAGAAGTGATCCTTCATCTTGTTGTATTCCAGACATCAACATGTGTGAACCATCATTGAGAAAGTCCTGTGCAGCCTATGCTGACTGCCAGGGCATGGATGGGAAGTACTGCATGTGCGGCCCAGGACAGGAGCTTATTTCTGAGACAGCCTTCAGGAATGAGAGTGAGAACATGTGTCAAGGTAAGAATGACTTTGCACCTTCCATCTCCTCATCCCTGCGGTTTGAGATTACTCAGCCCACTTTCTCCAAGCATCAGAGAACACCCTGGGCATCTACCTGGTATCCTGTCCCTTTCCAAACTTCAAGGCTCAGATCCCTCCAACGTGCCACTCACACAGTCTTAGAACATCTTCTTTGACACGTGGCACTTTATTTTCAGAAAACAGCAGGGTAGCATTCAAGATACTTCACAAGCTTACAGCATGTTATGTTTCAGTGCAATATCCGTCTTCCTCTGCTTCATCAGTAGCAGCCAAGATGAGACCTTCCCACCCTTCCCCAGAATCCACAAAGGCTCAGCCATGCCAGAATGGACCCAGGAACCCTGTCCAGAAATGTGGGAAGGGAGGAAATTTGAAGGTGGGCCTACCTTTCCTGACCAGCCCTGCCCCTGGCCAACAACCTTGCCTGGAGAAGATGCCTCCTGGCACTGCGAACAGCTTCTTGGCCTTTGTCTCTAGTTTCCCATGCAAGGCTCTTCCCTGAGCCTCTCTGATAATTTTAGTCTACAGGCTTGTGGGCAGATGACTAGGACCTGGAAGATGTTGTACAAGGGTGGGTGGGCAGAGTGATGTGGACCACCCTACACATACTCTGAGATTTAGGTGAATGGAAGAGGCTGCCATCTGGACTGGATGGAAAGAGAGGGTACTATTGCCAGACACCTGACCTACTTCCAAGGAGGTCAACCCAGGCCCTATTTTGACCCAGACCACTCAGAGACAGAAGATGGAGGCTGATCCCTACTTGGCATGGCCCACAGGTCTGCATCCCTGGTGGGAGGCCAAGGGCCAAGAACACAGAAACAGATGCCACCTTTCACCCATCAGCAGCTGCTCCTCTCTTCAGCCACTCACCCTCACCCACCACTGATCTTTCTCAGATGCTAATTCTCACCACTTTCTTTTAGTCTGGATAATTCCTTATGGGAATCAGAAAAGGCAAATTCACTGCCCCAAAGCTGCCTGACTGGATCTCAACCCCACTGTTTACTACAGCCCTGGTGCTCACTGTCCAAGTGACCTTGCCTATCTGGCATCACCTTCATTCCCCTGACTCTTTCCCTCAAGCCCCTTAAAGGGCCTGGTTCAGGTGTGTTTCTTGGCTATCTCCCAGAAGCTGGAGTCTCACAGTTAGCATGGATGGGAGTTTACTGTCCCACCAGAACAACCAGGATTCCAAGAGTTATGTAGGCAGTGAGAATCCACCTGGGGAAAGTCAGGACAAAGGCCATCTCTGGGAACCATGACAGGTCCTGGTAGGGAATGCAGCATTTCCCCTGTACTCAGTTCCCAGAAAGGCCCACCCTGGACTTGTCCAAGTCCTTAGGCTGGGACTCAGGTGGCCCTGATGTCCCCACTCCACCTGGGAACCACCCAGGGAAGCTGAGGACACTAGGCCTGACAGAGTAAGAGGGCTTGGGCCACTTCCATCCACATATGGACAGCAGAGGATCTAGCCACACTATTCTCCCATAAGAGGCTCCATGTGAAATAGGAAAGGCACCCACTCACCACAGAAGAGAGCACGGGGCCTTCTCCAGGCATATTTCTGCTATTGTCGGAGAACACAGAACATGCATGTGGGCAAGACACTTAGATTTGAAGAGTTTCTCCTTCAAGATGTACTCCCTTTCTTTGGGAGAGGTTGGAGTCTCTAGGTTGTGTCTCTGACATCAGCTGTCTGTGTGTTCTCTGTTCTCTCACATGTAGCACCTTGGGTCCCATAAAGGCTATTGTTATCTCGATTGACTTCTCAGGGAGTCCAGGGAGATGGAGGAGACAGGCTGAGTCTTGTTCTGTGTTCACTATAGGAGGCTTGTGGATTCTGCTGGAAAGCCTGGGCTACAGGCAGAACCACCCCCCAGGATGCAATGACCATGCAGACACTGGTTGAAACTGGAGCTTGACTATTCTCTCTTTGTCATCTGTTTTTCTTCCCCAGGGATGTTGGTGCTGCTGCTGTTGACACTGGGACCTGTACAGAAACTGAGAGGTGAGTCTGCCCAGCCAGCTCCATTGGTGACATAAGCTGAGGAGTGCATGCTGGGGTTTGGATTGTCTCACCGACAAGCAGTGGGAAAAGAATCTTATTCCACAGATAAGGCTCACAGATGGTCTTCTGGGTATAAGAGAAGCTGCTTCCTCCTCCCTAAATATCCAGAGTTTCCTGAGCTCTTCCAATGGCAGCCATCCCTTCCTTACCCTCCTCTCCTACTCCTGGACCCCCAAGCTGGCAGCTAGCTCCCTCCATTTCTTGAGCCTTCTGACTGTGGCCTTTGTTCCCACAGTCTCTGCCCCCACAGACTGTGCTCCGTGGTGCCCTCTGAAATCCACATGTGTCAATGCCACCGCCTGTCGCTGCTCTCCGGGTTTCAGTTCTTCGTCTGGGGAGATCTTCACCAGCCGCTTGGACAGTTGTGATGGTAAAGGGGCTTGAGGGGGTGGAGGGGCACAGACACAGTTAGCGGAGATGAGGGGGAATGGGGGAACCCTCAAGGCTTCAGCCTCACTGAGAGCAGCACCCAGCACTTCAACAAGGAAAAGAGATGACAGAGCAAATAGAGTAGGAGGGAAGTGGACAATCAGGTTTTCGTGATCAGTAGGTAGAGTGATGAGAGCTTACACAGCAGAGCTGGGCTACGTGGGTTCAAGATCCAGCTCACCACTGAGTATACCTGACATGTAAGAAATTATTTCTCCTCTCTATGCCTCAGTTTTCTTGCCTGTAAATTGGGGATAATCATTGTACCTACCCCCCACGGATGACGTGAGGTTTAAACTTTACATGTGTGGGAAACGAACTAGGGGTGGTGGAAGGGGAGGAGGGCGGGGGGTGGGGGTGAATGGGTGACGGGCACTGAGGGGGGCACTTGACGGGATGAGCACTGGGTGTTATTCTGTATGTTGGCAAATTGAACACCAATAAAAAATAAATTTATTATTAAAAAATAAATTTATTATAAAAAAAGAACAGGTAAAGACTAATACAGAGCAGACTGTCAAACACAAGCTATTATCATGGTCACTGCTGTTATTATTGTGATGATTCTCATAGCGCAAGGAAAGAGAAGTAGTGGAAGCAACAAGAGGAGAGAAACACTCAGGGCCTGGAAACTCAGGTTCTCCTCCTAGCTTGCTCCTCACAGCAGCCCCATGAGACAAGCAGTTAGCATGGCTTTTCCTTCCCACTTACATCCATTCTTCCCACCCCGCCCCCACACCCAAACAACCCCTCCCCACCTCCGGTACTTACTCATCTGCTCTCTCCATGAGTTCTAGTTTGTTTGTTGCTTGTTTTTAAATTCCACATATAAGTGAAATCATGTGGCATCTGTCCTTCTCTGTCTGACCTGTCTCGCTTAGCATTAATGCCTTCAAGATCCATCCATGTCATTGCAAATGGTGGGACTGCCTTCTCTTTTATGGCTGAGTGATATTCCCCTGTATAAATACACCCACTTTTTCATTATCCACTCATGCATTGATAGAGACAGATTGTTTGCCTAGTATAAATAAAACTGCAATGAACACAAGGGCACGGATATCTTTTCAAGTGAGTGTCAGATTCCTTCAAATAAATATCCAGAAATGAAATTACTGAATCATTTTTAATTTTTTGAGGAACCTCCAGAATTTTTCCCACGGTGGCTGCACTAATTTGCATTCCTTCCAACAGGACACAAGATACCCTTTTCCCCACATTGTCACCAATACTTGTTATTTCTTAACTTTTTTTAATAGCCATTCCAACAGGTGTGAGATGATATCACAGTATGGTTTGGATTCACATCTCCTTGATGATGAATGATGAAATGAATGAGTACCTTTTCATGTACCCTTTGGCCATTTGGATATCTTTGGAAAATGCTTATTCAGATCTTCTCCCCATTTTTAAGTTGGATTGTTTAGGTTTTATCTGTTGTGTTAAATGAGTTCTTTATATTTTTTGAATGTTAATCACTTCTCAGATATATGATCTGCAAATATATTCTCCTAAATTATAGATTGCCTTTTCACTTTGTTGATGGTTTCCCTTGCTGTTTGGAAGCTTTTTAGTTTGGTGTGTTCCCTTGCTGTTTAGAAGCTTTTTAGTTTGGTGTGTTCCCACTTCTTTATCTTTGTGTTTGGAGTCAAATCCAAAAAAATCTATGCCGAGACCAATTTCAAAGAGCTTATCCCATGTTTTTTTTCTATGAATTTTATGCCTTCATCTTTTTAAAAGATCATAATTGGGCTCAAAGAGATTGATTTATCCAAAGGCACAATTAATAAGGTCATAGAACCTAGATCAAGGTCTAAAACAAAAGAGCTTTTATTCTTCAAGAATGCAAGATCATAAAAGAAATTTATATGCTTTAAATATGGTTAACAAGGTAAATTTTATGTTATGGGCATTTTACCACAATAAAAAAATAGTGGAGAAAAGGGGAAATGAACAATTTTTGCACCAAGAAATATTCTTCTACTCAAAATCATCTTAGATGCATATTTATTGATAATAAGAGAAAATGTTCCTGATATGTTTGAAAAGCAGAGGGAAAAAAATAACCTAAATCATCCAGTGGTCCATGTAGTAGACTTACAGTTGATTTTCTTTGTTCTTATTTTTCACATTTTCTTTGTTTTCTAAGTATCCATGTGTCATTGGGGAGAAGATGTTATCAGATTTAAAAAAGAAAAGATATCATTGTGACTATTAGCCAGTCTTGATGCATTTGCACATGTGTCTGTCATAGAGATTCATGGCTGGGTGATCATGCTGAGGAGATCCTACTGCTAATATAACTGGATCCCAGCTCCTTTCTGGATTCACATCTATCTGGTTGAGGGGTTTCCTGTCCTCATGCCTTCCACACCTTGCACCTCATTCTCAACCATCCCCTTTGAGTAGCTCAGGGACTCAAAGAGCTGAGGCTGGACACTGTTGGCTAAATACAGCAACAGTTTTATAAGAACCATGGACACAAAAATGAGTAAGAATGCAGGGACAGAACATTTGCTCTTGTACATTCCAATCAAGGGAACAAGACTTCGAGAGTCTGAAAGGACTCAGCATTATGCTGAGCAGTTTCCCACCAGAACTTGTGGACTTCCTTCTAAGGCCCCAGGTCCAGGCTATGGGACCATAGCACCAGGACATGACAGATGTGGGAAGATGCACACCTGATCCATTCATGTTCACCCCCATCTGGGCAATTGGAATGCCCTCTCCTCTTTTTAGATGGTGGCAATGGTGAGAGATCTGTCCTCAAGGTTGTGGGGTGGGGTGGAGGCCCAGCTCTGTGAGTCCCTGAGCTACTAAAAAAGGATCTGGCTATGGATATCTTTCCTGTCATGTTTAAAGAACAGGTAGAGATAAGATGCCAGAAAACATCCCCAATGGCTTAGCTGTGTGCAGCTTCTTCATTTCACTTCCCCAATGTCTTTTATAAGAGAGGACATCCCTCCAGAGTGGAGATAGTATGACTCCCACAGAGACATCTTGGAGAACCTTAAAAATGCCTGACATTGGGATCTTAAAGTAGCAGGTAATAAAGACTGTGGGATTTACTAGGGTCACAGTGAGTAATCAGAAGTAGAAGCTATCAATGGGTAGGGGCCTGACCACCTGGCTTTGTCCTCAGGTGTGAATGAGTGTTATCCTGGACAGATTCCAGCCATGACTCCCTTCACTGAATCAGCATTGAGAGTGGCCTTCAGTGCCACTAGTCACCCTGACTGGAACCCACCCCCACATCCCCAGTAGTGCAAACAGGGACTCAGTGCCTCCATCCTCCCTACAAGGCCTGCAGAAGGGGATGCAGATCTCCTTCCAGCCCCCGTCATGGTACAGCAGAGTGTCTGAATCTAGGTACCCTCAGGCCCAGCCAGAGAGTAGAGATGAGCAGAGCAGGCAGCACACTTTCTAGAGTGGCTGGCTCCAGCTCAGACCTGCTCCAGGAATGCCACCTGCAAACTGAGTTCTCTCCAGTCCTGTTGGCAGAGTCAGGCTGGAGGTAGGCCTCTGCCCTGTAGGAACTCACACCTTTGGGAGGTGACCCTTTGCCCTGTTGTGTTCTAGACATCAATGAGTGTGGACCACCCCCAATAGTGTCCTGTGGAAAGTTAGCAGACTGTCAGAACACAGAGGGGAGCTACTACTGCATGTGCATCCCAGGATATGTGCTTGCTTCTGGGGCAACAATGTTCATGGATGAGAGTGAGAACACGTGTCAAGGTAAGAACCTCCCCATCTTCCATACCCTCATCCATGAGGCTTAATCTGCTCCACTTTCTCCAGGCATCGGACAGCCATCCTCAGCACCTACCCAGTCACCCATCCGGCTTTAAACCCCAGGGCTCAGAGCCCTCTGCAGAGGGTCACTTTAAAGCATCCCCTTGCCCCCCTGCTATCTTATTTTTGTAAAATAAAAAAAGGATGGCACTCAAGATATTTCAGAAAAACTGGGGCATCTGGGTGTCTCAGTGGCTGAGCATATGCCTTTGGCTCACATTGTGATCCCAGGGTTCTGGGATCGAGTCCCACATTGGGCTCCCTGAAGGGAGCCTTCTTCTCCCTCTGCCTATGTCTCTGCCTCTCTCTGTGTGTGTCTCTCATGAATAAATAAATAAAATATTTTTTAAAAAAAGATATTTCAGGAACTCACAGGATATTGTTTCCAGTGCAAAATCCCTTCTCATCATCATCAACTGCCAGGATGAGACCTTTCCCCTGCAGAGCCTACTTGGGTTTAGCCATGCCAGGAAACCTCAGACTTCCTGGCCATGTTGGACCCAGGAACCCCATCCAGAAACACTGCAATGGGAATATGGGAGGGCCAGCCCCCTTTCCTGGGCCAGAATTCTCCCTGGGCAACAGTTATGACATCCAGGTGCCCCTTCTCAGCTACCCAGCCTCTGTATATTTCCCTGCACAAAGCTTACCCTGACTGTCCCAAATAATTTCAGTTCATAATACTACGAGCAGACCAGATGACCAGAACCCAGAAGGATGTTGTGTCAAGCCTAAGCTGGATAACAAGGATCCACCCCCATACACACATGGAGAGCTGGATGATAAGAGGTTTTCATCCAGAAGAGGTACCAATGGAAGTTATCATTGAACACCAGCAAGTAAGCAGTTGCCGTGATGGAATTAAAACAAAGTCCATCACTGGGAGCCAGACAGGATCTTGATTGGGAACTGTGGCACTTTCCCTGCACATGGTTCCCTAGAAGACCTACTCTGGCCTTTGTCCAAATGCTCAGGCTAGGACATAGATGGCCATGATTTCTTCACCTTGGCTGAAAGCTGCCCAGGGAAGCTGAGGGCATTGGGGCTGAAGACAGGGAGGACTCAGTCCAATTCCATCCACACCTAGATAGCTGAGCATCTGGGCCACCACATTGACCCATAGTGCATCTCTGTATGAATAAGAAAAGGCACCCACTCAACAGGGAGGAGATATAGGGCCTTCCTAATGCTTATATGCCCAACTAGGGTCCCTAAATAACCAAGTGACCACATGGGAATTTACCTAGCCTTACCTATCCCCAGACCACTCCCCTCAACACACACACACAGATATTCTCACACCTAGTGAACCACCGTTATCCCCTGCAGGCATCTTTTTCCCCACCTGGACTCCACCCCGTGGAATCAAGAGCCAGGTGAGTGGCCCCAGCAGGGACCGTAAGACAGGAAATCCTTCCTTAAAGCATGAGCCCCTCACCCTGCCTGGCCACCATTTTCCTCAAGCTTCAGGACCCATACTGAGGCTCTTTGACTTCCTCATCTCCCCTCTCCCCAGACACTCTCTCGCTTCTTTCAAAGAGTCCAAGATCTGCACAGAGAGTTCAAACCAGACTTTGTCCAGAACACCATCCAGGTAAGACCAGAATCCAGGGGAAACAAGTTGGAGGCATCCCATCAAGGCTCTCTGAGGGCCCACCTCTCCCAGGGTGGGCAGGAAAAGCAAACATCCAAGTATTTGTACTCACTATTAGACACCTACTTGCACTTACAACCCTTCCTCTTACTATTCCTGGAATTTGGGTTGATGTCATCCTTGCATTCATGAGTAGGATTGACCATGAGTGGCTGGATTGCAGGGGTAATCCCAGGATATCCCAAACAATGCCACTTTGATCCCCCATATAGATAGTCTCTAGGATCTTTACTCTGAGGCTAAGTGGACAGCCTCTTCATGCAGTCTGCCTGGCCCATGAATCACTACTTCAGCAGCTGCTTTCCCCCAGGACCTCATACAGGGGGTGGATGAGCTGCTGGAGACCCCCGAGGACCTGAAGGCCCTGCCTCACTCAGAGCAACACCGTGTGGCCACTAATCTGCTCACTGGCCTGGAGAATTCCCTGAGAAATATGAGCCAGGCCCTGTCCAATGGGACATTGACCTTCAATGCATCTGCAGGCACAGGTAAGTACTGGGCTCCTGCTCTGCCCGTTCCCTACCTCATTTGTTTCCCGATCTCACTGGAGCAGAGAGACCATACTTGTATCTTAGTGTTACAGTTATAAACAACTTTTAAAAAGTGGTTAAAAAGAAATGAATAAATTATGCTAAGTAAAATAAGTCATAGAAGGACAGTGACATGTGATCTTACTTATATGTGGAATCTTTTAAAAAAAAACACACACACAAACACAAGCTCATAGATACAGATTGGTGGTTGCCAGCGGTGGGGATGAGAAGGGTATTCGTGTGGTGTGTGGGTGTGGGCAGTGAGCTAAATGGGTGAAGGAGGTCAGTAGATACAAAATAAATAAGCCATGGGATGTAAGGCACAGCATTGTGACTATAATTACTAATATGATGTTACATATTTCAAAGTTGCTACAAGAGTAAATCTTGAAAGTTCTTATCACAGGGAAAAAAAATTTTTGACTGTGTGGTGCCAGATCTTACCTAGGCTTTCTGTGGTGATCCTTTTGCAATATATACAAATAAGAAATCATTATGTTGTACACTTGAAACTAGTATAGTGTTCTATGTAAATTATACCTCAATAAAAAAGGAAATGAATAAAAGTATAATATACATGTTAATACAAAATAAATTATGAGCAGATGAATTAATGATAGTGAAGAATTTAAGAGAAAAGAGAAATGGCTTCCCAAGAAAACAATTTATTTAATTTGGATTAATATGAATTTAATACAGTCTGATATTTAAGTGTTTTATTTGAGGTAAAATTCATGTACCATAAAATTCTCCATTTTATTTTTATTTTTTTTTATAAATTAATTTTTATTGGTGTTCAATTTACCAACATACAGAATAACACCCAGTGCTCATCCCGTCAAGTGTACCCCTCAGTGCCCGTCACCCATTCACCCCCACCCCCCACCCTCCTCCCCCTCCACCACCCCTAGTTCATTTCCCAGAGTTAGAAGTCTTTATGTTCTGTCTCCCTTTCTGATATTTCTCACACATTTCTTCTCCCTTCCCTTATATTCCCTTTCGCTATTATTCATATTCCCCAAATGAATGAGAACATACACTGTTTGTCCTTCTCCGGTTACTGTGGCCAAGTTCAAAAAGGATGTTGCCTGAGTTCTTCTCTGGGATTTTGATGGAATCTTGTCTCACATTTAGATCTTTCATCCATTTTGAGTTTATCTTTGTGTATGGTGCAAGAGAGTGGTCCAGTTTCATTCTTCTGCATGTGGATGTCCAATTTTCCCAGCACCATTTATTGAAGAGACTGTCTTTCTTCTAGTGGATCGTCTTTCCTCCTTTATCGTATATTAGTTGAGCATAAAGTTCAGGGTCCACTTCTGGGTTCTCTGTTCTGTTCCATTGATCTATATGTCTGTTTTTGTGCCAGTACCACACTGTCTTGATGAACACAGCTTTGTAGTACAACCTGAAATCTGGCATTGTGATGCCCCAGATATGGTTTTCTTTTTTTAAAATTCCCCTGGCTGTTTGGGGTCTTTTCTGATTCCACACAAATCTTAAAATAATTTGTTCTAAGTCTCTGAAGAAAGTCCATGGTATTTTGATAGGGATTGCATTATACGTGTAAATTGCCCTGGGTAACATTGACATTTTCACAATATTAATTCTGCCAATCCATGAGCATGGAATATTTTTCCATCTCTTTGTGTCTTCCTCAATTTCTTTCAGAAGTGTTCTGTAGTTTTTAGGGTATATTTTGAGAACCATTTGAATGGTAAATGGTTCTCCAACCTTTTATTTTCAGGTTGTAGGTGTCCTTCTGTCTAAAATGAGTCTCTTGTAGACAGCAAATAGATGGGTCCTGTTTTTTTATCCAGTCTGAAACTCTGCGCCTTTTGATGGGGTCATTAAGCCCATTCACGTTCAGAGTTACTTGAACTTCTTCTTAAAGGGGAGTTTTAAGAGTCCCCCTTAAAATTTCTTGCAGAGCTGGTTTGGAGGTCACATATTCTTTCAGTTCCTGCCTGTCTTGGAAGCTCTTTATCTCTCCTTCCATTTTGAATGAGAGCCTTGCTGGATAAAGTATTCTTGGTTGCATGTTCTTCTCATTTAGGACCCTGAATATATCCTGCCAGCCCTTTCTGGCCTGCCAGGTCTCTGTGGAGAGGTCTGCTGTTACCCTAATATTCCTCCCCATGAAAGTCAGGGACTTCTTGTCTCTTGCTGCTTTAAGGATCTTCTCTTTATCTTTGGAATTTGCAAGCTTCACTATTAGATGTCGAGGTGTTGAACGGTTTTTATTGATTTTAGGGGGGGATCTCTCTATTTCCTGGATCTGAATGCCTGTTTCCCTTCCCAGATTGGGAAAGTTTTCAGCTAGGATTTGTTCAAATACATATTCTGGCCCTCTGGCCCTTTCGGCGCCCTCGGGAACCCCAATTAAACGTAGGTTTTTCTTCCTTAGAGTGTCGTTCATTTCCCTTAATCTGTCTTCATGGTTCTTTAATTGTTTATCTCTTTTTTCCTCAGTTTCCCTCTTTGCCATTAACTTGTCTTCTATGTCACTCACTCGTTCTTCCACCTCGTTAACCCTCGTCGTTAGGACTTCTAGTTTGGATTGCATCTCATTCAATTGATTTTTAATTTCTGCCTGATTGGATCTAAATTCTGCAGTCATGAAGTCTCGTGAGGCCTTAATGCTTTTTTCTAGAGCCACCAGTAGCTGTATAATGGTGCTTCTGAATTGGCTTTCTGACATTGAAGTGTAATCCAGATTTTGTAACTCTGTGGGAGAGAGGGCTGTTTCTGATTCTTTCTTTTGAGGTGAGGTTTTCCTTCTAGTCATTTTGCTCAGTGCAGAGTGGCCAAAAACAAGTTGTATTGGAACACGGGGGAGTATCACTGGTCCGTCTAGCTGGTCTTCTGGGGGAGGGGCCTGCTGTGCTGATTTTCAGGTGTCAGCACTTGGGGGAGCTGCTCTGCCCCTGCCTGCTGCAGGGCTCAGCGGGGGTTGTTTACCCCGTGGGACCCAGGGAGGAACAGCAGCAGTTGCTATGGCAACTCTGGAAGCCTGGATTCAGCCTCCGCAGGAACTACGGGGCTCGGGGCTCTCGGTTCTCCGTCCGCAGGGCCTGGAGGCTCCGGGGCGGGGCCGCTGATCTGCTCAGCTCGGGGCAGGAGCGTCCTCGCTGTCCTGGGCCCTCCCGGCCTCTGCCTGTCCCGGGGGAGGCCGGATCCTGGGCTGTGTCCCGGCGCCCTGTGCTCCGGGGCCTGCGCTGGTGGATTCGCGCTCCCGCCCCGCAGCCCCCTCCGCGGAGCCGCCGCCCGAGCCCCTCCGAGCTGCTCCGGTGGTCCCGCCGTGCGCGCTGCAGCCCTTAGGGAGCTCGGGGCGCTCTCCCGGGGCGCAGGTGTCTGTTAGTGTCCCAGGGAGCCTGAGGGCATCCCCGCTCTCCTGGGTCCTGCTCCAACTCCCTGCGAGCCCCTTTCCCCCGGGAAGGTTGGTGCAGCTCCTGCTCCTCCGGGACGGGGCTCTCCTGTCCTGGGGACACTCGCCCCGGCCTCAGCCCGGCTCCTCGCGGGGCCCCTCCCCCTCGGAGGCCTTTTGTTCCTTTATTTCTTTTTCCCCGTCTTCCTACCTTGATAGAAGCGCGAACTCTTCTCACTGTAGCATTCCAGCTGGTCTCTCTTTACATCTCAGGCTGAATTCGTAGATTTTCAGGATGGTTTGAAGGTTATCTAGGTAACTTGGTGGGGACAGGTGACTTGGGGACCCTGCTCTTCCGCCATCTTGCCCCTCCCTCAAATTCTCCATTTTAAACAAAGTGTGCAATTCAGTGGCATTTATTTTTTTTAAGATTTATTTATTTATTTTAGAGGGAGAGAGAAGGCAAGAGCAGTGGGGAGGGACAGAGAGAGAAGAAAATCCTCAAGCAGACTCCAAGTCGAGAAGGAGCCTGATGCAAGGCTCTCTCCCATGACACTGAGATCATGACCTGAGCTGAAATCAAGAGTCAGATGCTCAACCAACTGAGCCACCCAGGTGCCCAAATTCAGTGGCATTTAGTACACTACAAAGTTGTAATCATCGCCTGTACTTCTAAAATATATTCATCAGCCCTGAAGTCAACACTGTGCCTCCTTCAGGAGTCATTCCTCATTTCTGCCCTCCCTCAATCCCTGGCCACCACTGGTCTGTTTTCTATGCCTGTTCTGGACATTTCATATAGAGAGAATCATACACTATGTTGCTTCATAGTGTGGCTTCTTTTACCTATTATAATGTTTTCAAGGTTCATCCATGATGTAGATTCTATCAGTGTTTCATTCTTTCTTATGGCTGAATAATATTCCATTGCATACGGATACAGCACCTGTTCAGCCCTCCATGCACTGATGAACATTTAGTTTGTTGCCACTTTTCAACTATTGTGAATAGTGCTACTATGAATATGGGTTCATGTTTTTTGGCTGAATAACTGTTTTCAGTTCTTTGGGGCTACACAATTAGCATTGGAGTTTGTGAGTTATAGGGTAATTCTATGTTCAACATTTTGAGAACCTCCAAATTGTTTTCCATCCCCACCAGCAATGGGCTCCAATTTCTACACCTTCAGCAACACTTGGTACTTTCCTTTTTTTGTTTTTGCTTGGTTTTTTTTTGTTTTTTGTTTTTTGTTTGTTTGTTTTCCTGTAGTCTTTTCAGTATATGTCAGGGGATATCTCATGGTTTTGATTTGCATTTCTCTGATGATTAATGATGTTTTGCATCTTTTTCTGTAAATTGTTGAAAATATGTGTAACTTTTTTGGAGAAATGTCTATGCAAGTCCTTTGACTATGTTTTAATTCATTTGGCTTTTCGTTGTTGAGCTGTAAGAGTTCTTTATGTATTCTGATAGTAGACTCTTATTTTTTTTATATTTTATTTAAATTCAATTTGCCAACATATAGTATAACACCTAGTGCTCATCTCATCATGTGCCCTCCTTAATGCCTGCCACCCATTTACCCTACCCCCCTCACCCACCTCCCCTCCTGCAACCTCTTAATTGTTTCCCAGAGTTAGGAGTCTCTCATGGTTTGTCTTCCTCTCTGATTTTTCCCCACTCAGTTTCTCTCCTCTCTCTTATGGTCCCTTTCACTATTTCTTATATTCTACATATGAGTGAAATCATATGATAACTGTCTTTCTCCAAGTGACGTCTTTCACTCAGCATAATACCCTCCAGTGCCATCCATGTCAATGTAAATGGTAGGTATTCATCCTCTCTGATGACTGGGTATTATTCCCTTGTATATATATATGCCACATCTTCTTTATCCATTCATCTATTGAAAGACATCATGGCTCCTTCCACAGTTTGGCTATTGTGGACATTGCTGCTATGGACATTGGAGTTCAGGGGTGCTCTCTATGACACATATGATCCACTAATTTTTTCTCCCACTCCATAGATTGTCTTTGCACTTTCTCCATGGTCTTTCACTTTAATGAATAGATGCTTCCATTGTGATGAAATTCATTTTCTCTGTTTTTTTTTCTTTTGCTAAATGGATATTTGGTGTCATACCTAAGAATCCATTGCCAAATCCAAGGCCATGAAGATTTACACCTGTGTTTTCTCCGAAGTGTTCTAGTTTTAGCTCATAAATGTAGGTCTTTCAGATGAATGGATGAAGAGAATGTGTTTTGTATATATATATGTTATATATATTATATTATATAAATGTGGTTTGTATATATATGTATACATATATATATATGTATGCAATGAATATTACTCGGCCATCAAAAAGAATGAAATCTTGCCATTTGTAACAACATGGATGGAACTAGAGGGTATTATGCTAAGTGAAATAAGTCAGAGAAAGAAAAATATCTTATGATTTCACTCATATGTGGAATGTAAGAAAGAAAACAAATGAACTTAGGCAAAGGGTAGGAAAAATAAAATAAGATAAAATCAGGAAGGGAGACAAACCATAAGAGACACTTAACTATAGGAAACAAACTGAGGGTTGCTGGAAGGAAGGGGCAGTAGGGGATGGGGTAACTGGATGATAGGCATTAAGGAGGATACTTGATGTAATGGGCACTGGGTGCTATATGCAACTGATGAATCACTAAATTCTACCTCTGAAACATATAACACACTATATATTAATTAAATTGAATTTAAATTTTAAAAAATGAAATAAATTTTTAAAAAATTAAATGTAAGTCTTTGACTTATTTTGAATTAATTTTTCCAGCTTCCTTTTTTGTGTGTGGATAGCCAGATGTGCCAGGACTTGTTGTGCCAGTTTTTGTTGAGAGACTTCTCTTTTTCCACTGAAGGGTCTTGGCACCAGTTGTTGGAAATTAATGAACCAGAGATGTATGGGTTTGTTTCTGGACTTTCAATTCTATTTTACTGGTCTGTCTGACTCTCTTTTGTCAGTGCCCTACTGTTCTGATTACTGTAGGTTAGTAATCAGTTTTGAAATTAGGTGTAAGTACTCCAATTTTGTTTTTCATTTTCAAGATAGTTTTCAGTATTTGGCCCACTTGCAATGCCCTGTGAAGATTAGGATGAGCTTTTTCATTTCTGAAAAATTAAATAATTAAAACTATTTTGGAATCCTACTAGAGACTGCATTGAATCTGTACGTCTCTGAGAGCACTACTGCCATAATAATAATGAATCTTCCACCCATGAACATGGTTTACAGTTTTCTATGTACAAGTCTTGAGCAATCTTGCATAAAATTATTCCTCATATTTTATTGATGATTTTGGCATCTATGTTCATAACAGATTGGTTTATAGTTTTATTTTCTTGTGATTTTTTTATTGGAGTTCAATTTGCCAACATATAGCATAACACCCAGTGCTCATCCCGTCAAGTGCCCCCCTCAGTGCCCGTCATCTAGTCCCCCCAAACCTCCACCCACCTCCCCTTTAACCACCTCTTGTTCATTTCCCAGAGCTAGGTGTCTCTCATGTTTTGTCACCCTCACTGATATTTTCACTCATTTTCTCCCTTTTCCCCTTTATTCCCTTTCACTATTTTTTTATAAATTTATTTTTTATTGGTGTTCAATTTGCCAACATACAGAATAACACCCAGTGCTCATCCCGTCAAGTGCCCTCCTCAGTGCCCGTCACCCAGTCACCCCCACCCCCCACCCACCTCCCCTTCCACCACCCCTAGTTCATTTCCCAGAGTTAGGAGTCTTTCATGTTCTGTCTCCCTTTCTGATATTTCCCACTCATTTTTTCTCCTTTCCCCTTTATTCCCTTTCACTATTTTTTATATTCCCCAAATGAATGAGACCATACAATGTTTGGCAAGTTGAATTTAAATAAAATATTAAAATTACATATGATATCTAAAATATGCATATGCTATATTATACTTATGTATGCATTCCATAAATTATACAATATGTAATATTCAACATCATATTATATATTATATGGTTTTGTGTATTTTTATATTATATATACAGTATCTATATTATAGATTTATGTAATGTATTAAATATTTTTATAAAAACATATCTATATACACACATAAAATGATATTATACCAACCACTACAGCCACAAATACTAACCTACTCCCCTATATAACTCTGACATCATACAGACCTGTCCCTGAAACTGTGGGAGCAAGGAGACAGAAATGTCATCTTGAGTCAGAATCAGGTGAAGATGATGTTGAACTGGGATGCGGTGCATGATTCTGGTGACTCAGGTAATGGCCGAGATGGGAGGAAGCTCACAAGATGCCAAAGGATGTGACAAACAGGGAACTGAAGATTAAAGGGAAAGGGGGCTTTAGTGGGACCACAAAGAGTCCATCTGAAGAGGACGGGGTTCATTGTGCACCGCAAGATATCAACATCGGTCTCGTCCTGCAGGCCCTTCTGTGGTGGGCCTCATCTCCACTCCGGGGATGGGAAAGTTGCTGGCTGAAGCCCCTCTGGTTGTGGAGCCTGAGAAGCAGGCAGTTCTGCATGGGGCACACAAGATCTCGCTGCAAGAAGCCTCCCCTGTCCTGCTCTCAGATGTCATCTCTGCATTTATGAGCAACAAGGTCACCCAGAATCTCAGTTCCCCCGTCACTTTCATCTTCTCCCACCATGTGAGTGCTGATGGCATGGGGCTGTGGATGTGGAAGAGCCTGGGTCCTGGGCACAGCCTCACTGCCTAACTCAGCCTTGAGGTTCTGCGGGAGGTCCCCCATGAGTGCATCATTCCCCCAGGAAAGCCCTTTGCAAGCCAGCTTTGGATAAGCATTTCTGAGCACCAGAACCACCAACTCCCACCTATGTTTTTCCTACAGTCAATGACCCCTGGGCCAACACAAAAGGTGTTCTGTGTCTTCTGGGAGCACAGTCAGGATGGATCTGGTCATTGGTCCACCAGAGGCTGCACAATGGTGAACAGTAGAGATACCAGCACCACCTGCCAGTGCACCCACCTCAGCAGCTTTGCCGTCCTCATGGCCCACTACGATGTGCAGGTGAGAGCCCTGAAAGGGGCTGCACCTCATGTCTATTACTTTAAAAAAAAAAACAAATGTTTATATCTTGTGGTTTCTTCAGAGCAGCAGTCAGTCATGGTGTGGCTCAGTTGCTGTTCAGGGTCTTACAAGTCTGAAATCAGCCAGAGCTGCATCCTCCTCTGAGGCTCAGGGTCCTCCTGTGAGCTCCCTGGTTGCTGGCAGGTTTCAGTTCCTTGCAGTTGTAAGACTGGGGTTCCACTTTCTAGCAAACTGTGAGCAGGGGACCTTGCTCAGCTCCTAGGGGCTACCTCCCTTCCTTCTGTCATGGGCTCTTACACAGTGTATTGCCATTTTTAACCAGAGGCCAGCAGGAGGAGCCCTCTCACCGCAAACACTCAAACTTTGAATCTTCTCTCAGAGTGCCCAGAGCTTTTAAGAGCTAACATGATTAGGCCAGGCCCACCCACAATAGACTCCCTCTCTTAGAGACACAGGACCAGAATTACAGCTCCAAAATCCTTTCACAGCAGCACCTCAAATGGCTTTAACTGAAGAAACTGTGTGTACACATTCTATCATTGCCAAATTAAAATTCTGCTTATCACAGGGATCTTCAGGACAGGAAGGCTATAGACAGGGGCTCTCTGGGGCCTTAAAAGAAAGATTCCGTGGTAGCAGAGGTCCAATGGGGCCAGGAAAGCCAGTGAGTGCAAGTGGGTTAGGAGTTATGTTTGCCTGCTCCCCTGGCCACGTGAACTGGTTACTTCCTCTGGATTACAAGCAAAGACTTACTTAGGTGATCTGTAAAGTAAAATAAACCATTGGGGATTCCAGAGCTTTGTCTTAAGTAAGGACTCTCTTACTCCTCACTTCCAAGGACTGAGTTAATCAGTTCAGATTTCCATAAAATTCTAGCATTCTGATCCTGGAGGAACTTACCCAAAAACATAAACTTACCTGCCTCCTTCTTTCTTGATTTGCCTACAACAAAAATAAAAACAAACAAAAAAAATTTAAATGGAAGAGTCATTACCCCAGACCAGGAAAATGTGACTGTGATGTCTTTGCTTCTCTTGGCTGGATCCCAGGAGGATGATCCCGTGCTGGCTGTGATCACCTACATGGGGCTGGGCACCTCTCTGCTGTGTCTCCTCCTGGCAGCCCTCACCTTCCTGCTGTGCAAAGCAATCCAGAACACCAGCACCTCCCTCCACCTGCAGCTCTCGATCTGCCTCTTCCTGGCCCACCTGCTCTTCCTCATCACCATTGACCAGACCAAGATCAAGGTATTGACACAGTCTCAAAGGAGCCCCTGCCCTGCCCCAGAGGATGCTCAGTTCATGGAGCTGTGCTGCATTGATATCTTAATAAAATAAATAATATTGGGTCCCAGGGATATTTTGAAGGGTAAATAGCCTATTCCACATTGACTAACGAACTAGAAGACAAATCCTCTCCTGACAACTCCATCATATATATGAGCATTCTCTCCAATGCAAGGTATGGAACAGGTCCTGGGGCCACCCTCCTCTCTGACAATCACTCCTGGTGGCACCTTTCTCCTCCCCCAGGTGCTGTGCTCTATCATTGCGGGTGCCTTACACTATCTCTACCTGGCCTCCTTCACCTGGATGCTGCTGGAGGCTCTACACCTCTTCCTCACTGCACGCAACCTGAAAGTGATCAACTACTCCAGTGTGAGCGTGCTTATGAAGAAGCTCATGTTCCCTGTGGGCTACGGAGTCCCGGCTGTAATTGTGGCCATTTCTGCTGCATCCAGGCCTCACCTTTATGGAACACCCACCCGGTACGTGCAAATTTCCACTGTCCTCTTCTCCAGCATGACCATGGCCATCATAGAACCAATAATGATTTAATTCCATCAGATCATGATAAGCAGAGAAAAGGTCAATGACTACTCCAAAAACATCTACCTGGTGAAAGATTGTGTTCACTGAAATAATTGTTTTTCAGTCATTAGGATGTAATTATTTTAAATGTTTATTATAAAGTATGTTAATAATTATCTATTTAAATAATATTGTGCATTATGTTAATAGCTGTGCATTAATATAACATTAATGGTGTTTAATGATTACAATTTTTTTTAAAATTTTTATTTATTTATGATAGTCACAGAGAGAGAGAGAGAGAGAGAGGCAGAGACACAGGCAGAGGGAGAAGCAGGCTCCATGCACCAGGAGCCCGACGTGGGATTCGATCCTGGGTCTTCAGGATCGCGCCCTGGGCCAAAGGCAGGCGCCAAACCGCTGCGCCACCCAGGGATCCCTAATGATTACAAATTAATCTTTACTTAAGATAAATGAGGTGATGGTTTTTAATCTTTTAGATTTCATTATTTTAAATATAGAAGGAACATTCCAGAAAGATTGTACTCTAGTTGGTAAATTGTTGCCCACAGGGGCACTAGTTAACAATTTTGAATGGCTTTACATATATTCTAGAGTTGAAAAAAAAAAACTGGAATTGGTCAGAGAAGTAAGCAGAAAGGCTGAAATAAAAGGGATTATATTAAAGACAAAAAAATAAATAAATAAATATTAAGTGTATATTATATTAATAGCTATTTTATATTAATGAATACAGTCTATAATATAAATAGCTTTATATGTATTAGTAAATATATGTTAATATAGTATTCATTGCATTGATTGAGGGGCAGTTTTATCCTCCAGAAAGTAAAACTGAAATGAATAGATGGCATTGATTTGTGTAAACTCTCTTCTAATTTTTTTTAAGATTTTATTTATTTATTCATGAGAGACACAGAGAGAGAGAGGGAGGGAGGGAGAGAGAGAGAGAGAGAAGCAGAGACACAGCCAGAGGGAGAAGCGGGCTCCATGCAGGGAACCTGACATGGGGATCGTGGGACTTGATCCCCGGTCTCCAGGATCACGCCCTGGGATGAAGGCGGCGCTAAACCGCTGAACCACCTGGGCACCCCAGCTGTCCTCTCTTCTAATTTTAAAAGAAACAGAGGGTCATTTGCATGATGAAGTAACTGACCACAGCTAAGATCTAGAAACAACTTCTGATATACAATCACTGTTTTGTGTGTCAGCTCAAATCATCCCCCACAACCTATGAAGCAGAAACTAGTATCAAGCCATTATACATATGAGGAACTGAGATACAAGGAGATTCACTAACATGGCCAAGGTCACACAGCTGGTTGATGGCAGAGTTGGTCACATGCGTCTGGCACTCACAACACACACCTATCCTGATGACATGAGTACTCAGCTGCATCAGCAAGCCCTGGCCAGCTAGCCTCCCTAGAGAGTTGAGCATAAAGGTCAGGGAACTTTTCCATAAAGAGCCAAATAATCAAGACTTCTAGCTTTGTGGGCCCTCTGGTCTTTGCTGCAACTACTCAGCTCTGTCATCCGAGCACAGAAACAGTCACAGACAATCCAGGAGGGAAGGACTCTGTGTTTCAGTAAAACCCGCTTACAACAGCAGGTGGTAACCACCCTGGCCCACAGGCTGCAATTTGCCAACGCCTCCCTTCAAAGCTTCACTTTGATTGCTTCTTGCTGGGTCCGTTTGACCCTCTCCCTGGCCCTCACACCTCCCACCTTACTCACAGCTCCCCTCTCTGGGGCTGAAGTCCAACTCTGTCATTGCTCTCAGAGTGGTCTTGAGATGTCTGACCTGTGGGCATGTGAGTACCTGTGTCCTCAAGAGGAATAATGTATGTAGTGCTCATGAGCCTTACCACTGGGGCAGGCTCACTGTGTTGTTTCATTTATGTGTTTTTACTCATCTCTTCCATGGTCCAAAATTTTCACCTTGTCTGTACACCTACTCATCCCTCATACCTCAGCATAAATACAAATCAGTTCTTTCAGGGAAACCCTTCCCAAGTATCTGGATTTCCTATACTCTGGACCAAGTTATGGATCCCACTACATGTCCTCATAGCTCCTCATACTTTTTTTTTTTTGCATGTTAGACACAGTATTTTATTTTATTTTTTTATAAATTTATTTTTTATTGGTGTTCAATTTGCCAACATACAGAATAACACCCAGTGCTCATCCCGTCAAGTGCCTACCTCAGTGTCCGTCACCCAGTCACCCCCACACCCCGCCCTCCTCCTCTTCCACCACCCCTAGTTCGGTTCCCAGAGTTAGGAGTCTTCATGTTCTGTCTCCCTTTCTGATATTTCCTACCCATTTCTTCTCCCTTCCCTTCTATTCCCTTTCACTATTATTTATATTCCCCAAATGAATAAGAACATATAATGTTTGTCCTTCTCCGATTGACTTATTTCACTCAGCATAATACCCTCCAGTTCCATCCACGTCAAAGCAAATGGTGGGTATTCATCGTTTCTAATGGCTAAGGAATATTCCATTGTATACATAGACCACATCTTCTTTATCCATTCATCTTTCAATGGACACCGAGGCTCCTTCCACAGTTTGGCTATTGTGGACATTGCTGCTATAAACATTGGGGTGCAGGTGTCTGAGCTCCTCATGCCTGATCATAAAACTAATCATTTTGTTTTTATCTAAGGGCTAATTGTTGATCCTCCCACATCACTGATGTCCCCCTGAGGACTGAGACCACTCTATCCTAATCCAACTGGGTCTTCAGAGCCAAGCACAGATCCTAACATAGAGGAGACACTCAATATTTGTAAAAAAAAAAAAAAAAAAAAACATAATTTGTTGATCAATACCTTTATTTTCTTTTTAAAAATTATATTTATTTCTGCCAGCATACCTGGGAGTCAAGACATAGAAGAGCTTTTTGAAAGGAACTCATTTTTTTAAAAGACCACTTTAGTAAGGTGTGATTGACATGTAAAATGATGTATGTAATTAAATGTACACAACCTGATGAGTTTGGGGCTAATACCATGACCACCATTGCCACCATCAAAGGCATATACAAAGTTGTAGTTCTGCAAAAATAAATAAGTTTAGATCTATAGCACATAGTGCATATCATTAACAATAGTGTATTATATACTTAAAGTTTGCTAGGAGGGTATGTTAAATGTTTTAACCAAAAAAAAAGCAATAATAAAATAATGAATGAAGCAGGAGGAAACACTAGAAGGTGAGGGAGATGTTTATTTATTAATCCTTTATCCACAAGGCCCATATTTTCTTGAATCTCTTTCCATCTCTCTTAGGTGCTGGCTCCACACAGACAAGGGATTTATATGGACCTTCCTTGGCCCCATCTGCACCATCTTCTCCGTGAGTAGTGCATGGTATCAGAGCAGCCCACCTGCCCAGCTGAGGATCATTCAAAGGCCAGGTGTATCCGGAGGGTTACAGGCAGGATGAGCAATCATTCCAGTTGCCCCAGGAATGATGAGAGGTTCCCAGGAGGCAGGAATTCCCACTGTAAAACCAGGACTAAGGTGTTTCCTGAGACATAGCACTGTAAGGACTAAAATTCGGAATTCCCATGCAAATTGCTTTGAAGTGGTCATCAAAGTTACGGGACAGACATGGGCCTGAGTTACTACTGGGTGTTTAGTCTGCTTTCCTCGGACTGTTTGAAACTCAAATCTTCCCTGCTGGGTTAGGTGTTGGGTGAGCAAAGAGGAAATTTTGCCAGATGTGGAGTGTAGGTAATATATCTGTGGGTTTTCTGCAGATAAATTTGGCTTTCTTTCTGATGACCTTTTGGATTGTGAAAAAGAATCTCTCTTCACTCAACAGAGATGTATCCACCCTCCGGAACACAAGGTGAGGATGGGTCAGAGGTACACACCGCCCCCCATACAGAGCATTATCCTCCTGGCTCCAAGGCTCTGATGTCCCTTCACAGGGCTCCCTAGGGGACTGGAGGAGAGAGGTGCCACCACCCTCCTTGGCCACCAGCTCAGATTCTGTGGTTTGTTACTGACACCCATGCCAAAAACATTCCATCTGTGCACACCCCACCAATAAACTACTTCAGCTACAGAGAGAACCAGCTTTGTTCTGATAAGCAGGGATTGCTACTATGGCCCTATGAAAAAGGTCCTGAGAACATTCATACCCTTATAATGTATTCAGGAAATCACATAGCAGTTTCCAGAACCACTCCAACCCATCATGCCCATACCTTCATGCATGCTCTGCCCTCTGCCTTACCCTTACCTTGCACCCAGTGAACTCAGCTTCATCATCCACATATCACATCATCTGAGAGTTTTGGAATGTCCTCTGCTCTCCTCAACTTTGCACAGAATCAGTGGCCTCTATTCTGGGCAAAGCATGTCCTGGCTCATTCATGGGGAGGGTGAGGACAGGAACAGCCCTAGATTGGACCTGAGCAGAAGTAACTCACTTTGCAAAGGGTATAAGTGATCATTTGTTTTTGGGTTTCCACTAGACTTTAAGACCTGCAAGAACAGAAGTCTTGTCTTTGTTGAATGCCCTGACCCCAGCCTAAAGCCAGGTGCACAGAACATTCTGGGTAATGTTGGTCGAATAAAATTGGGGGTCTTCATGAAACATCATGAGCTTTTTGAGACTCGCATTCTGTAGTGTCACCATAATCCTCAGTCCAAGTCAAAATGCCATCCTGGACCCAAATAGTGTTTCTTTTTAGGGAACCATTGACAATAAAGATCAAAGTCGATCACAACTCAGTCAGAAGCATCCATGGAGTAGATATGAAACCAGCTCTGGTTGTGTTGCTCTTTGTGTAGGCATCATGAGCCTCCTTTCTCTTCCTACCCAGGATGCTGACATTTAAAGCCACAGCTCAGCTCTTCATCCTGGGCTGCACATGGTGCCTGGGTGTCCTGCAGGTGGGTCCAGCTGCCCACATCATGGCTTACCTATTCACCATCATCAACAGTCTGCAGGGTGTCTTCATCTTCCTGGTGTACTGCCTCCTCAGCCATCAGGTATCACTGCCCAGCTCCCACCTGGGACTCCTCCCCTCTTCCGTCCCCTCAAATGAGCTGACCCAAGCATGCTTTACCTCTGCAGGTACGAGAGCAATACAAGAAATGGTTCAAAGGTGTCAGGAAAACCAAAGCTGAGTCTGAGCAGTACACTCTCTCCAGTGGGACCATGTCCAATGCCTCCAAACACAGTGTGGTAAGATTTTAGTGTTCCCAGAGCACTAACCAATCCCCTTGGGAAGTTCATGCCTACCTCACTGGACAACCTGGGGTATATAGCAGTCAATGCCCTAGGATGGCTCACACTTGGTTTTCACCTGGACTACCCTGAAGGCACTTCCCTGTCTTGAAAGGAGGTCTTTTTATACTTTCATTCATTTATATGCTCATGTTGACCCTTGCACATGACTGTCCTCTTCCCCACAAATGTAAAGCACCCACATTGTGTGACATGGGTGCAATCCCTTTTTAATTGTACTTAGTGACAAAATACAGAGTACTCATAAACAGAAAAAGATGCTGTGGTCAACCAAGGAATCAGGAAGTAATGATCTGTAACACTGTTACACAAGATGCTCAGAGTCACCGCACATTAATTATCTCAAGTCACTCTATGCCATCCCTGTATGTGATGAACAATAAATATGTATCTATAGTCATAAAATTAAATTGAAATAAGTATTAAGCTGGAATGGAGACTTCTCTTCAAAGTCTGCAATCATTCCTAGTGTTTCCAAATACACAAATACTGCAAAACCCCGCTAGAGAATCACAGACGGCAGAGGGGAAATCCCAGCAATGTGAATTATACTGAGCATTTGTATGTTCAGGTTAACAAAAAACCTTTTCTCTTCTTAGGCTTCTCTTGACAATATTTTGTAGTTTTCTGTGTACCCATCTTGCACTTTCTAACATAGAATCATGTTTACACCTTCCTTCTTAGGAGAATTATAATTAACAGCTAAACCTGATGAACTTGTCTCTTAGAAAATGAAGAAAATACTGGCTGCCATCCTTTGGACAAAGAATATAAAAAATGCTTTTTTTCATGTTTGTTACAAATAACTCTTCTTGGCACGACTGTGGGAGAAAGTATGCAGGAAATATTTGACATTCGGTTGCTAGAAACTTGGATTTTCTGGTGCATACAACACTCTCATCTTACTCCCAGTATAATCAGGAACTATTACCGAATATCTCATTAGAAGCCTCTTCTACAAAAATTCTTCCTCAGGTTGATGATATATAATAAGGAAAACTTGCCCCATAGGACTTTCCTAAAATAGCATAAGAGAGGAAAGTAATTCACATACCTGCATATAGTGTAAACAACTAATCCCAGTTGCTCAAGACATTCCCAGTTTTAGTGCTGGAAGTATTACATCCCAGAAAACACTTTGGTTACAGAAAAGTAGACCAGTTGGTCTCTGTATAGCATGCCTCAACTTCACTCTCCATTTCTAAGGACTTACTAATTTTTTATTCCAAAAATATGTGCTGGGAACAGATCAAGAAGATCCAATTTCTAATTTCACAAAATTTAAATGTGAAGAAAAAAATTTCATCAGAGCAAAATTAGAGCTTGGGACTAGAATCTGCATCTTTATGTTTTTTAAGTTGAGTTGTGGAAAAAGGTGTATACAGCTACTACACATTTTGTGAAATGTATTTCAGGATAACATATTATTTCACCTTCATCATGCAGCCTAGGCAAGATCTAAATCTAGAGCAGTTACACCTACAGGAAACTCTCCGTGGGTTTCCTCTGACCAATTCTGTATCAATTTGAATATCAAGGAAAATGACTGTACATGATTATATTTTAAATAAATATATCCATGAATCCATAGTGATACTTTAAAATATCAGCTAATAGATGCAGAAAATACAACAGAATTAGAAGAGAATGATTCTTTCAATATCCCGTAAGTGGCCACTAAAAGCATTGACTGAAAGGCTTTGGAGAGCAGGCTGGGACCATAGCACCAAAGAATCACCTCAAGACTGCCAACTAATTACAAAGGCTGAAGTGTACATTTGCAATGTAGAGATCTGACAGCCACCATCTGAAATTAATGAAGTTTAATATCATCAATGGTGGGCAAACTGACCTATGTATCTCCTGATATGTCATGAATTTACAACATCCCATTTTTAGTCAATAAAGAATTATTAACAAATCAGTCTAACTGAGATCTAATCCAGCCTTTAGACTATGGAAAATATCAGAAATGGAGACAGAACATAAAGACTCCTAACTCTGGGAAACGAACTAGGGGTGATGGAAGGGGAGGAGGGGGGGTGAGGGTGAATGGGTGACAGGCACTGAGGGGGGCACTTGACGGGATGAGCACTGGGTGTTATTCTGTATGTTGGTAAATTGAACACCAATAAAAAAATAAATTTATTATTTAAAAAAAAAGACTATGGGTTGACAAAGTACAGCATGCAGTCCAGATCCAGGCATCTGCCTGTTTTTGTTAATAAAGTTTTATTGGAACACAGCCACACCCATTCATCGATGTATTGTCTATGGCTGCTTTCATGCTATAATGTCAGAGTTGAGTTGTGACAGAGGCTGTAAGGCCACAAAGCCAAAAATATTTGCTGCCTGGCCCTTATAGAAGAAACTTGCTGGTACATATCCTTTTAGGTAACTTTCAGTATATAGGTAATGCAGGAGACAAAACAATTTAAGTGACATCATGAAGAAACCATCAGGCAAATCCTGAGCATAAGCATTCAACAAGACAATTGGCCTGGCCTCTTCTAAAACCAATATCATTTTTTAAAGTGACTAGATGTTACTCTAAATTATAAGAAATGAAAGTGACATAACAAATTCAGAGTCAATTTTAGTGGCACTCTGGTTCAGATATACAGCTGTCCATGACTTTTTGGAGGCAATTAGGATAATTTGAATATGTATCAGACATTGAAAGTTATTTTGAAATCATTGCTAATTTTCTTAGGTATAATGATAGTATTGTGGTTATGTAGAGAACATTCCTTGAATTCACAAATACTTGTGGAAGAAGTATTGACGAATGAAGTGTCATGATGTCTGCCACTGACTATCATATGTTTTAGCAAGAAAATTTATCCATGTGTGGAAATACATTGAGAAAAATGTTTTAATGTGGCACTATGTTAACAATTACTGACTCTGGATGGAGAGTATATGAGTATTAATTATATCACTTTTCCAAGTTCTAAGTTTAAAATGGTAAATAAAAGGTGTCAGTCTGGGTAACGGGCACTGAGGGGGGCACTTGATGGGATGAGCACTGGGTGTTACGCTATAAGTTGGCAAATTGAACTCCAATTTAAAAAATATGTAAAAGCCCTCTAAATAAATAAATAAATAAATAAATAAATAAATAAATTTTTAAAGGTGTCAGAAAAGTAAGTAATATACTGATTAGCTATTAATTCATTAAAGATATATACCCTTGTAAATTCCTATATGTCCAGATAAAATGCCTTTTCCTCTGCACAAAACTAACTTTGTGAATGGATTTTTTAAATATTTTATTTATTTATTTGAGAGAGAGATAAAGCTTGCTAGCAGGGAGGGTAGGGGAAAGAGCAGAGGGAGAGGGACAAGCAGACTCCACACTGAGCTTAGAGCCCTACTCAGGGCTTGATCCTATGACCCTGAGATCATGACCTGCCTGAGCTGAAATCAAGAGTTGGCAGCTTAACCAAATGAGCCATCTCAGTGCCCCAGAATAGATATTTTCTAAAACTAAGAATTTTCATGACTAATGGTGGTGGATTTAAAATCAAAAATTAAAAGTAAAACAAAATCATTAAAATATAAGAAAATAGAGGGAATCTTCACTTCTGCCTAGAAAATAAAAAGTGGGGGACGCCTGGGTGGCTCAGCGGTTGAGCATCTGCCTTTGGCCCAGGGAGCCAGTGATCCTGGAGACCTGGGATTGAGTCCCACATTGGGCTCCCTCCATGGAGCCTGCTTCCCCTTCTGACTGTGTCTCTGCTTCTCTCTCTCTCTCTCTCTCTCTCTCTCTCTCTCTCTCTCTCTCTTTCTCTGTGTGTCTCTCATGAATAAATAAATAAAATCTTTGGAAAATAAAGAAAATAAAAAATGGAAACAGGTATTGCTTTCAACCTAACAATAAGAAAAATCCACATAAACTACAAAATCATTCATTTTCTTGAACCTATAAGAGAGGGGAGGTAAAGACAACAAAGTAGCCTAAAGTCTAAGGAAAGACAGGATCATCCACAGAGAGACCATCAAGAGTCCTGGCTGACCTATGGCAAAGGACAAAAAGAAGTCATCTGGGTACCATAGAAAGACTTAAAGAGAACTTACATTTCTGAATGAATTGCTCAGACCCAAGTGTAGACAATCCTGAGAGTATGGAAAGTGCCACTCTTAAGAGAGTGGCAAAAATGTGGAGAGACTCTCTTAGATGCAGCCACACAAGGAAGGTCTACAGCTGAAAGAACAATGAGAAAAAAATCTTCTGGCAAAACAGACGGTAAGTACAAATAAAAAGGTAACACCAGAATAAATTGAAGCCCAGAGTGCAAGGCCTCCTGATTAGACTCAAGCTCCCTCAAAAGTAGCCTGCCAGAAGAATAAGTGTGCCTATTTCCAGTAATAAATAGCATATGCCTCAGTGTCTGCTGTTCTACACACATTGTCCAGCATTGAATCAAAAGTTATTAAACACAAGTAAAACAGCCCATGTAGAAGTCAACAGAACCAGACTTAAAGAAAACTAGCAGCAAGGGAAGTTTAAAATAACCCTCCTTCACATTTCAAAGGCTCTAGTGCAGTAGTTCTTACCTGGGACACACTTTTGCCCCAGGGAATATTTGGCAATTTCTAGAGATATCTGTGGTTTCACAGCTGGAGGGGTACCTACTCGCATTTAGTGAACAAAGGAAAGAGATTCTACTCAAAGTTGTACAATATAAAGGACAGCTCCAGACAAAAAGAATTATCCAGGCCTCACCTTCCCCACCCCGTGTTAATAATGCTGAGCTTGAGAAACTGCTGGAACTCCCTTACATTACATAGTGGCTATAAACAGGTGTTTTCCTATCCTCCATTAGAAACAAGAAAATTTCTACAGCAACATATACGTGTAAAGAGAAACTCTTTGTTCACAGAAAATTTCATATTATCTTCTGTTATCCCCAATATTGAGAAATCCTGTTCTACTGGGAAAAGGAGATGATATTATGAATTTATAGAAAATTTCAAAGAAACTACAGGCCACAATTTAAAACTTCATTAATAACATCCTTTTAATCAAAAGTCAAAGGCTTAGAGGGGGAGGTAAATTTTATTTTTTTATTATTTTCTTAATAATAATTTTTTTATTGATGTTCAATTTGCCAACATACAGAATAACACCCAGTGCTTACCCCTTCAAGTGCCCCCCCAGTGCCCATCACCCATTCACCCCCACCCCCCACCCTCCTTCCCTTCCACCACCCCTAGTTCGTTTTCCAGAGTTAGTAGTCTTCATGCTCTGTCTCCCTTTCTGATATTTCCTACCCATTTCTTCTCCCTTCCCCTCTATTCCCTTTCACTATTATTCATATTCCCCAAATGAATGAGACCATATAATGTTTGTCCTTCTCCGATTGACTTATTTCAGTCAGCATAATACCCTCCAGTTCCATCCACGTTGAAGCAAATGGTGGGTATTTGTCGTTTCTAATGGCTGAGTAATATTCCATTGTATACATAAACCACATCTTCTTTATCCATTCATCTTTCGATGGACACCCAAGCTCCTTCCGCAGTTTGGCTATTGTGGACATGGCTGCTAGAAACATCAGGGTGCAGGTGTCCTGGCATTTCATTGCATCTGTATCTTTAGGGTAAATCCCTAACAGTGCAATTGCTGAGTTGTAGGGCAGGTCTATTTTTAACTCTTTGAGGAACCTCCACACAGTTTTCCAGAGTGGCTGCACCAGTTCACATTCCCACCAACAGTGCAGGAGGGTTCCCTTTTCTTCACATCCTCTCCAACATTTGTGGTTTCCTGTCTTGTTAATTTCCCCCATTCTCAGTGGTGTGAGGTGGTATCTCATTGTGGTTTTGATTTGTATTTCCCTGATGGCAAGTGATCCAGAGCATTTTTTCATGTGCGTGTTGGCCATGTCTATGTCTTCCTCTGTGAGATTTCTGTTCATGTCTTTTGCCCATTTCATGATTGGATTGTTTGTTTCTTTACTATTGAGTTTAATAAGTTCTTTATAGATCTTGGAAACTAGCTCTTTATCTGATACGTCATTTGCAAATATCTTCTCCCATTCTGTAGGTTGTCTTTTAGTTCTGTTGACTGTATCCTTTGCTGTGCAAAAGCTTCTTATCTTGATGAAGTCCCAATAGTTCATTTTTGCTTTTGTTTATTTTGCCTTCGTGGATGTATCTTGCAAGAAGTTACTGTGGCCGAGTTCCAAAAGGGTGTTGCCTGTGTTCTCCTCTAGGATTTTGATGGAATCTTGTCTCACATTTCTATCTTTCATCCATTTTGAGTTTATCTTTGTGTATGGTGCAAGAGAGTGGTCTAGTTTCATTCTTCTGCATGTGGATGCCCAATTTTCCCAACACCATTTATTGAAGAGACTGTCTTTCTTCCAGTGGATAGTCTTTCCTCCTTTGTCGAATATTAGTTGACCATAAAGTTGAGGTCCACTTCTGGATTCTCTATTCTGTTCCATTGATCTATGTGTCTGTTTTTGTGCCAGTACCACACTGTCTTGATGACCACAGCTTTGTAGTACAACCTGAAATCTGGCATTGTGATGCCCCCAGCTATGGTTTTCTTTTTTAATATTCCCCTGGCTATTCAGGGTCTTTTCTGATTCCACACAAATCTTAAAATAATTTGTTCTAAATCTCTGAAGAAAGTCCATGGTATTTTGATAGGGATTGCATTAAACGTGTCAATTGCCCTGGGTAGCATTGACATTTTCACAATATTAATTCTGCCAATCCATGAGCATGGAATATTTTTCCATCTCTTTACGTCTTCCTCAATTTCTTTCAGAAGTCTATAGTTTTTAGGGTATACATCCTTCACCTCTTTGGTTAGGTTTATTCCTAGGTATCTGATGCTTTTGGGTGCAATTGAAAATTGTAATGCAATTTACATTTATAATTGACTCCTTAATTTCTCTTTATTCAGTCTCATTGTTAGTGTATAGAAATGCCACTGACTTCTGGGCATTGATTTTGTATCCTGCCACACTGCCAAATTGCTGTATGAGTTCTAGC